ATTTCTTTAGTTTTGTTTCTTTTTGCTTTTTGCAGTGTTGCATAGTTCGATCTCGCATCCAGCTACCGTGTAGTCGGGACATTTTTAAACTAGAGATGGAGCTGAACAAAATCAAATTCTGTTTGCATCTTAATTTTATAAATAATTATCTGTGCAGACATGTTTTAGTTTGATTAAAAAGTTGAGTGTGTGTTTTATATACTACCAGCAGTGTCTACGTAACATTTCACCAAATAAATCAGTTTAATTAATACACCTGTTCAGATTTTCTGTCACTCATGGACGACAAGTTGTGGAGAGAAAATGCTTCAGTCACAACAACACCTGTCACCTGAGAAGTGATGCATGTTCAGGACAACATCAAAGCAAGTTTTCAGTTTTCACATCTTTATACTTTGTATACAGTGTAGAAAAGAACACATTGTAATACAGGGTGTGGACATGGTGGCTAACTGGCCACAGACACTTTATCGAGGTATGCTGTCCCAGAGTGGGTCAGGGACAGCTGCCTCTTAGTTGCCATTGGAAACCGAGTGCTGCCTCTGAGTATACACCGCTGTATGAGACGGGGACTGAAGGAGCCCAGCAAGGCGACAGTCCAGAGCTCTATGCAGCAACAGCTTGGTGAGAGCCAGTTGAGGTTAGCTTGATCCCGGATGGTGGTAGTAGAGACTTTGAGCCAGGCTCAAAGCTCTTATCATTTTCATCTGTAGGACTGGTATTATGCCACTTTATTAAGTTTTGTCTTTTTTTTCAAGGGAGAAAGTAACCACTTAGATTGAGAATATACATATGGTCAGTCTATCCCAGTAATGCCAATTCAGCTATTTGTTCTGACGTTTTCAGATTTGTGTTTGTTATGTGACCAAACTTGCTCTATTAGCAGGCAGCTACATCTCGTTCAGAGCACAGCAGTCTGTGGGCGAGGACGCTGGTGTTCCAGCTGCACATTAGAGCTGCATTTCCATTCCCCGAACCTAACGAGTGGTACACCCCATGCTTCCCTTTACTATCACCCAGCATTACCTTGCCAGTATAAGCAGTTTATCAAATAGCTGCTGAACAAGCAGAACACAAACTCGCCGAAACGTTGTCTTCACCGATTTGCCGGTCATCCACTCACTGAAGTCCCCATTTTACCCCTAAAATAGCAACTGAATGTCTGTCATGTTGATGGTTTTTATTGAAAAACTAAAATGTTAAAAGGTGAAGACCAGGCAAGGCATTGTACATACTGGTTTATTTAACTTCTTTGATTTAACTAATAAAAAGAGTGTTCTTTCCAGTGCACTTTGACATGCATATTGTTCAACAGACAGTAGGGATATCCAACAACCTTTGTCCTAATTTTTCTTTTACAAAGATGTGGGAGCAAACAGCAACTCCTTATGTCAAAACCTTTTTCTCTTGTGGTCACTTAAAAGTGACTCAGGCTTGATGTGCACAAGGTTCTTCCTGAGGTCACCGAATGTGGCACTCGTTGTGACGTTATTAGTTCAGGTCTTGCTCGGCATGTATGATGAATCTGATCCACCTCCTCACTTTAAAATTAGCTAATAAATGCCAAAGGATCATGGAAAGAAAAAGGGGGAACAAGGGTTGTCCATAGCTTTCTCTGATTTTTTTTTTTTTTTTTTTTTGCCTCTTCTTTTAGTTCCAGTTGCATTTGTCTTTGTCATTTTACACGTCTTGAAACTTACAGTAAATCTTGAGACACTGGGTCCCTGACTTAAAAATGCACTTGATGGCTACATACAATATGTGACATTATGCTAAAGCACTGAGGCTGAAGCTGCATTTCTCAACCTAAAATATCCATATGGAAGGGAGATACAGAAACAGCATTGTTCTTATGTTCAAGTGAAGACCTACCTAGTTCTAATGTTTCAGTAAGGAAAGTATAAGATCAAACTTATTTGACCTTATACTTCCCTTAACCTCATGGGTTGCATCAGAAGGTTAGATTTATGTTTTATTTTATTTTATTTTTTCACAAACACTTTTTCACTTTCAGTGTTACAAGTGGAAAGGCTTTTAGGAGTTCAGTGGACATAATGCTTCTCATCAATATCATGACTGGGATTGCTGGAGTATAAACTACTCTGAATCTTATAAAGAGCAGGGCCAATTACCCCAAACTCTAATAGCATCCAGTATCAGCTTCAACACAGCGAATATATTTTTTATGCAGTCTGTAATATCACTAAACAATGTAGTTAATATGCTAACTCTTAACTTCCAACATAATGCAAGGTTAGCCAGATATGCTAATGCATGACAGACTGTATATTCTTAATGCTACTTAGCACTGGACAATCACTGTTCAGGTGAGGGGGGTTAGTGAAGTGTTGAGCCAACTCTGACGCTTATTTTGCTCATTTCCTCAAAACTTCCTTTTTTCTAGGTTTTTTTTCTTACACCTTTCTCAGCAC